TTGTCAATTTTAATGAATTAATGCGTATTTTATGGGAAAAGTTGCCTTGCCGCGGCATGAAAGTAAATTAAATAAATTTATGCCCCAAGGAACCAAGTCGCCGCCTGCTGGCTTTCTGTCTATTATCTAAGCATTAAACCTGTGTATTGATACACAATCTGCACAAATTGAAAACGAAAATTGTTTGCCATTTAATGATTGTGTGCAAACTTTGCTGGCCATTAAAATTATATTAAAAAGTTTACACAGCCGAATGTACTATGGGCCGATTTCAATTTGCTTTAATTTCATTGAGTGGCGCTTTAAAGTCGCCGAAGTTGGTCTAACTTTTGACACTTGCCACAAATATAAATCGTAGCAGGCGGCATGAAAAAGTGTCAGGCTTCTGCGGCTGCAACACAAACTGCCAAGACTCATTTTTCACACTACGCACAAACAGAGTGAAGGATTGAGAGAAAATCCGGGGAAATCACAGAGGAAAAAACTATTCGGAATAAATTCGGTACATTTTAAAAATATGTAACATTTTTTCAATGAGTAGAAATTTCTAAAATATTTACTACGTTTATTTTTAAAACCTAAATACGAGTATATAAAGATTATTATTGTTGGTATCAGATGAGCTTACTCTGTTTGAGTCACTAATTTTTTTTACATTTTTAAAAATAGTTTTGATGTAAACCTTTCATTTTGGTTGATAAAATATTTTTTACTATTTTCTAGCCTTTTTTATCCATTAATTGTTATCTGATGTGAAAGCTGGTGGCTAACTTCTAAAATAAAGGCTTATATTTTTTTCAAGTGCAGGGAAATCGCGAAGAGTGGCAAGGAGATGCTTGACTGATTGTGCGCGTTTTGGGGCAAAAGTTTTTCGCATTAACTTCCGCTGCACGCCGCGTCGCATTTGAATGCGATTTTGATTTGTCACTCGCCGCCTCGCAACAAAAGCCGCCGCCTACTTAAGAGTACAGTTAGGTGGCGCGGGCCGCTCAACTTTTCCACCATTTCCGCCGCCCACTTGTCGCCGATCATTGGTTTCCGTTTCCCCTTTTCGCAGCGAACAGAAAGTCGAACTGCAAAACTGCAGAAAGGAGCCAAGTTAACTTGACGACGTGCACAAGCGCATTTTGAAGTTTATGAAAAGGGCTGAGGCCGAGGCTCTGAATCCATCGCTGAAGCTGCAGCAACTTTCTGAATAGATTAAGTTGAAAGTTTTGCTCATTTTCAGCATCGCCCCAATCGAGGCTGTCCCAAACCGGGGCGACAAAATTATATGCCCGGTTAAAAAAAGAAAAAGAAGTAATATCAACGTAATGACGTCGCGGCAAGGTGGCAAAGGGGAGAGTCTGCAGTCTGGAGATGGTAGACAGCAAACCAAATCAAAACTTTTCCAAGTGTCATTAAAAGTAGCCGAAAAAAGCAAACGAGATAGCGAGCGAGTTTATTTCCATTCGCATTCCCAGTCGCAACTATCAACTATTATCTTGTTGATTTCTTTGCTTTTTTCCGGCCACCTCTTCAGGACCTTTTCACGTAAGTTTCAGCATAAGTTTTGTGTGGGTACACAGGGAAATATGGTTCGGTTTAAAAAGAAATTCTAGGATATTTAAACTCTTGAAATATTGTTAATCCAAGTTCGAGTTTTCTTCTTTAAGCAATTATAGAATTTTTAGAATTGATTTCAATGTTAAAATATTAAATTTTTTAATATAATATGAATTTTAATATTGAAAATGGTTTGAAACTTACAAAAAATTTATATTGCTGTTCAAAATACTTTTTCCATGTCGAAGAATTATTTTCATTGTATTATATATATATTAATTATACATCTAAAAACAAAAAATCATTTGATTTAAATTTCCTAAATTATAATGTTGATAATGAAATGAACCCTTTTTTCCTTGTGAATTTTGAAATTTGTTCGGTCCAAACTCGAGCACAAAGGCCAAGTTAAGCCTTTTGTGGCCGACAATGAAAGGCGGCAAACAGCAACAAGCAAGAAGGGCTGCCAATTACAGGCCGAGAAGGGCTCGTTAGCCAGGCAGCACAAAAATGTAATTGAATTATGAGAGGCGGCAACAATATCGAGGAAACTAATCAGGAATCGGGCAAGGACCCACTGTAGTCCTGCCAAATGGCCAGGACGTGTCCATGTCCCGCTCGCTAATCAATTTGCCCATTGTGCCGGGCCTCTTTGTTTGTCTCTCTTCCTAGAACTGGATGTGATTCCGAATCCGATTCCGAATCCTATCTCATTCCGATTCTGATCTGAATGTGATTCTGGTTTTATTTATGAATACTGGACGAAACGAGTCCGAAGTCGAGGGGTCAGAACATATTGCATGTGATTAATCAGGAGCACTGCTATCTGGTTATGGTTTTGGGCTGCGGCGACTGCATCGACAAGCAGACGCAATTTGAGCCGCCCACCGCAGGCGGATAATTGAATTTCAGTTTTGTGCTCGGTCACGACTATAGTATTATATGCCACATCTTCCCCGCATATATATCGAACTGCCTCTTGAACTGCCCGTCATCGTCTTGGCACTTTGGATATGGCCGCTGCAGTCGATTGGTTTCTGCGAATTTCCCTAATTGGCCAACAAGAAGTGTGGCTTGGTGTGCCATGGGTTTTATGTTGATCCTCTGACCAGCCGAATAATTAATTAGCTGCATTAAAACAAGCACACTCCGGGGCCTTGTGTTTTATGGCCATTATAAGAATGAGAGTCTTCGCCTTATATTGTCTAATCGGATTTTTGGTGTGTGCCAGTCCATTAAACAGTTGCGATAGGGAAACTATATATATATATATATATATTTATTAGTGGTGCCCCCGAGGCAAATTGTCTGAAATTTGCAGCTGGGAAAGTGGACAAGTGTGCTCGGTGGTTTTGATTAAGCACAAGGTGTTGATTGATTTGGAAACTCAAAGAGACTTAATTATTTTGAAGGGATTATGATGGTGATTACGGTTGCGATTGCGTTGCCAAAGGGAAGCAATTAATTGGGGGATTAAGTTTCTTTTGTTCCCGCAGCCTTTCCTTTTCAATAATTTTCCATCGACTTTCATAATGAGTTCTGTCTGAGTGCCCGTCTCCCTCCGTCTCCCAAGCCAAAACCACAAAAACTTCAAGTTATGGTGAATTTTCCACACACATTACTTTGTAAAGTTTCCACTGTTCGCCGCAGTTGGAAAGTTAAGCCAGTTAATTAAAAACGAGCTGAAGTCTGGGGGCGAAATTGTTTGTATAAATTTAGCTTCCTAAATGAAAAATCCACCCATGAGTGCTGTTAACCTGATGATGAAAAGTAGGTAAAGCCGGAGACGACAACATATTTGCGATTATTTCCCACGCGGGCACTCAAGGCATAAAGAGCAATAAATTAAGAGGCGAGGCCAGCGACGAAGGATGTCCTGGCAAGAGGATGTCTTTGAAGCGGGTTCCTTGGGCCCCCGAAGGCAGTGGAGGCAGCCAAGAACCACTTCAGGTGTAGATGAAAAATGTAATTATTTCGTAGATTTGCTCCCGCCATAAAATAAACATGCGGAAGAACAGTATTTGCAGATGCTGGGCCGCGGGATAAACCGCCACCAAAAATCCAAGCCAGGCACTTCAAAAGGCCAAGCCCTTAAAATGTTAAACGAACGTTTGACATTGCACAAGAAGAAATTTTTTTAAAGAAATGGTATGAACTTAAAAAATTAGAATCTATATCTAATGTGTGCTTTTATAGTTCTACAATTTAAAATATTAAAGTTAATCCAACTTATTTCAATTTCTCAATTATGAATTTACTTAATTTATTTACTTACTTAATTTTCTGTATAACCCATATGATTGGAATTTAAAGATTTTTGAATTTTCAGGGCTGTATAGCCTTTATAGCTCTAAAATTCTTGTTATTTTTAAACACTTATTTTTCCAAGTGTGCACTCGAATAAATAGTTTCTGGCAAAATGAGTTCAACGTTTCTCAAAAGAACCCAGAGCAAATAGCGAGGGGCGAATGGAAGACGGAGACGAAGGCTGATGCTCATTAATTAAGGAAGTGGCAAATGAAAAGCCTGCGAAAAACGCTCCCAGGACGTCTTTTTTTTGGTTACTGACCTGATCACCAGGCTCAACATTTCTGAGCTGGGCATAAAAATATATATATATAGTATAAGTAAGGTAGGGTAAGGTAACCTGTGCAGGGGATGTATGTATATAAATCAGTTTTATTTGCTTTCACTTGTTCTGCTCTAATATTTTTTTGGGCCACTCGCCCCGGCATCATTTGTTTGCCCCGGCGTCGACAGCTGCTTGTGGCTTTCAACTGGTCCCCGGTCCCCATTGCAGTTTGTTTTTCCCCCTTTTTGCCTGCTCAAACAAAAAAGTCGAAAATTAAATTATTAATTTATTGCCCGTTGCTTGGGAGCCCCACCGTTTCTATGGACCATTCACTCGTGATTTTCAGCAAAAACCAGCAGAACCAGAACCAGAACCAGAAAAAACAAAAGCAAAGCTAGAAACGAGAGAAATTCACGTTGCTGTGGCACAACATTTCGCGGTTTCCTTCGACATGCACCCTCGGCTCGCTAATTATTCATAAATTAGGCGCAGAAAGACGGGGGACTTCATTTGCCGTTTGTTTGTTTATTTAACAATTTGCTCGACCGGCACAAGTGCGGCAAAATGTTCTTTGATTGGAGTTAATGTGCTGGCCGAAACATGGATCGATGCTGGGCAAAGGTTTTTGGAGTGGGAGTGGTCCCATGAAATAGTTTGGGTAATTAAGAAGCCAGTAAGCCGGATCCCAATTATGAAATATATTTCTTTGAACAGCCATGTTTGAGTATTTTTAGCTTAACTTAAATAGAACAGTGTGTTTATTCATCAAAACAATCATGGGGTACTTTAAACTGTTTATATTGGATGTATTATAATTGCCTAACTTTAGATTTAGTTACATATATTATTTTTTAATTTTTCAAAAGTGTTTCTAAGTACTTACGATATTTCTCCGAATGGGGTGAATGCGTCTTTCAGCTGTTGCGTCTCGATTTCGGCACTCAGATCGCCCACAAAAATGTGAAACTGTTCTGTAAAGACAAAAACGGAGACAAATTTAGCGGCAATTACGTTAGATGGGGGCAGGAGTAGGAGTTAAACTATAGTTGCTTAGTTTTGCCACCGGCCGAAAGACCAGACAAACCGCACTCGACGATGGCCCAGACAGACACTTGAGATGGGATGGCCATGTGTGTTCGGCCAAGTGGCAACTGGCTGAAATCGCAACGTGCAATTGTCCACCCCCGACTCGAAGAGTCCCCCAGTTGGCCCAGTTGGTGTCTGTTGCTGATTTGGGGCTTGACATTATCAAATGCCGCCTGTCAGCCCGGCTGCCCGGTATCTTTACCACCCGGAGTCCTCCGCCCAGAATCATTTCCCTGAGACCCAGAGCCCGTCACTCTAGTTGCCACTTTGCTTGCCGGTTGTTGCCGGCTATTTTCGGCACTCCGGCTTCGGCTCCAGCTCACAGTCAGTCCCAGAGTCGTCCTAGAGCCCAGAGCGCAGGGTTTCTGGTTCCGCATCCGGTTGCAGCTGCAATCGCCGGGTGAAAAGTGCCAGCAGCCAGGAGCCATGCTGCCAGGTGGACATGGACACGAGTGCCATCACAAGTGCGCTAACGTGTCATGTTTGCATGCACGCGCTGCCAACAAATACAGGCAAACACATATAAAGTGGTTTTCTAGCAAGGATTTCGCTCAAGACTTTGTATAAATGTATAGGTCTATTCCATAACATGACAGATCTTTTTATCAACAATTTATTATGATTTCCAGAAAGTAGCAAAAAAATTGGTAACCAAATGTTATTCCTTCTGTCTAGATGTACATCTATTCAATTTATTGATAGTTCATTTTAAGATAATGAAACAGCTTTGATGATTTAAATTTGTTGGTTTAAACATGAAAAATAAATAATTTTAAAATATAAAAAAAAGTTTGGTTATTTTATGGAGGCTTGCCTGTACCAACGGCCCCATCCGGCATCCTGGAACTGCTTTTCGGCTCGCGTCCGTGCCAAAATGACATAGTTTCGCATTACAAGGAAATTGCACTTGAATGTGCCAGTCGCTGGTGTATGCCTGATGGGCGTGTCCGGCCCTAAACTCCTACACCACCGCCCACGATTCCCAAGCCCCCTACCCCTATCCCCTATCCCCTAGCCACTACCCACCTCATCATGTGTGCAGTGGAAACAGAGTTGACAAATATGCCAAAAAAGAAAACTCCCCCAGCGACATGAATTACAATTCTGGTGGGTGGTTGGGCGGTGCTGCGCGTCGTCCCGTAGCTGTGGATACTTTCGTTTGTCCGTCCGTTTGTCCGCCGGAGCGACAGGAAGTTGTGCTAAGCGTCATTTCCGTTGTTTTGAGTGATTGCAATTGAGATACGGTTTTTGCGGTTTCTTTTTTCGGGCCACCGCTGGGGATCGCTGTCTCCCCGTCCTTATGTCTGGCCAATGGAGCACGTGTCGACGCTTCTCTTTTCACTTAAGCGGTTTAAATTCCACTCGAATCGGGTGTCTGCCTAATGTGCTGTAAAATGTGCCCTTAAAGATTCACTCAGGGAAAAATCTTCCAACGAATAAATGGTTTTTGACGCCAAATTACATATTTTACAAAAGTATCTTATTGAAATTATTGAAACATTTATTTCGGGTTCATAGAAGTTTTATTTATTTAATTAAGGGATGTAAAAATCAATTTTGTAAGGTAGACAATGTAGATTAGTAATTGAGTCTAGGGAAAATTTATAATTTTAGAAATGGGAATATATACCTTTAATTTTTAAAGGGCTTTTCAAAAAGCGTTTTATATTTTTCTTTTTAAAATATGATAATAACTATAAGCGTCTAAAAACCGTTTTTGAATAAAAATTTTCTTTAAAGTTCAAATTCGAAAACCCTGACTCACAAAAATGGTTTCCGTGTAGGTCACGCAAAAAGGATTAAAGGGAAAATATTTGACTGGGTCGGGCATTCGACTGGAATGGAATGTTGCCATTTTGATGTTGACACTCAAATGCCTTTATCTCGGTGGTAATAAATTGTTCGGCAAATCCCCCAAATCAATCGCTGACCAATTTATTTTATGCAATCTCTGCATCTGACACGACCCCTGGCCCTCCGAAAACCGAGCGGAGCCAACAATTTATTGCCCTAACTAACAAAACTGCAGCTGCAATCGCTGCGTTTACAAACCGCCTTTCCCCTGACCTTTCAACCCTTCATCCTTTTATCCCTCTAGCCCTCGACCTCTCCCACCCGGAAACAAAAACAAACCGTACCGAAAAACAAATGCACATTAAATCTGCACCAGTTACAAATTTTTGTTGGTTTTAGTCAATTGGTCAGTCGCAAAACAATTTGGACAGGGCATTTTATTTGCCAGCGGCAGATTTTTCAGCTTTTTCTGTGTGTGTTTGGGCCATTCGAACGGGGAACCGGGGCCAATTAAGTTCCAGTCCATAAAATTTGCATCAAAAGGCGACCATTGACCTTTGGGCGTGTCCATAATTAAGAGCCCAAAAATATACCCATCCGGCGGGGCCTGCATTACGCACAGTTCAGTTCCACAATTAAAGAGTCCTCGCCGCGTTGGGGCTCAATTAAAAGCCGGGCCAACTTCCCAGCGAGCGGGCATAAAGCAGCTGGCCAAAAGAATTCACAGCCAAACACCAGAGCACGAAAATGAGCGAACATCAACGGAGGGGGAATGGGAATGCCGGGTGGTACGTAATTCCACATAAAAATATCGTAAATCTTAAATTAGAAATTTCGCACATTAAAAACTTGGAAATTGCATTTGGCTTTCTGACTTCAACTTGGTCGTCCGCTGGCTTTCGGGCAAATGGTGAGAAATTCAAGCGGAAAACATCCTAAAATATACTAAGGAAAAATAACTTAAAACAATTTTTAAGACCTATCCTTCCGAAATTAGTGTCTTGAGAGGGTATTTCTTTGCAGATAGATAGCTTTGGTATTTAAAAATTTTTGATCTTTTAATAAGGGATGCTTATATTTTTAAGGGGTCTTAATTGTTTAACAAATTGCTAGCATTTTGCTTCCAGTGCATAAGTATTTCTGCCCGATTCTGTTTATATTCCAATGTGTATGTGTGGTAACAGAACGAAGCTTGAGCCAAAGATGGAGAGGAATCAAGGATCCCGGGACTGGCCTGCATAAAGTCCATTGGCGCACATTTTTAATGAGTTGGACATAAAAAAGTTTTAGCTTTTGAAAAGCTGCTGTTGAAATGAAGCCAATGAAACCCTCACAAACACCCAGAGTGCGATGGCAAATACAGGGGATGAGCAGGATGAACAGGGACTTGGTCTGCGGCCCATTGTCTCTGCGGGGATTTGAGTGTTGTCCTGCCTGTCGTCTGCTGTTTTATTGCATAATCGTGAGTCAATCAGCGGCCGGAGGGAATCCTTGGCAGATCCTGCAAGAGGAGGAGGTCCTTCCCCTATTTCAGTGGATCACGCATTCGCTGGTTCGACCTTCATCAATGCACGTCAGCTAATAAATACGTGCTGCATTTTGCCCTGACCTCCCCAGAGAAAAGGCCAGAGAGCAAAGGGGAAATCGGTCCCCCATGCAATTAAATTTCACTTCAGCTATACCGGTTCGCTTTAATTTGCCGAATTTAATTGAATTGCGAGCACATCAAATTGCGCATACGCCCCGTGGTACGCAAACACACACACACCCACACAAGCGGTTGCAAAGAGTTCAAAAACATCGCATTGCGATAAAAATGTACTCTAATTTCGTTGAAATTATAGATTTGTATGGTAATGCGTTTCAATTTGCCGGCATTTCTAATTCATTTCCTGTGCTCTCTCGATTATCGAACCAAATTCAAACGATGAGCCATTAAACGAGGAGTGGCTATCTAAACTGCGCTGCTCTCATTGCGAACTATAAATTAGCGATTCCCACGCGATCAATGGACAATCAATACACCATATGAACTTTTTTTTCTAAGATTCGTTTCATGAAATAAGCAGTTTTTGGTTGAATAAAAGGACACCTCTCAAAAAGGCAGATCATTATAGTTTAAGGTGATTCAGAATCTGTATTTTGTTGTCCTTCTTCTTTCGCGCACTTGAACTCTTTTTTTGGAGCCCCGTTTTTTTCCTGGCGTTTGTCCAAACCGGAGTGACTACAAATGTGGTTGAAATGTGCGCGAAAAGCGGCAAACCGCAAAAGTAGCTGAACAAACACAAATGTGCCAGGCCAAATCGACAGAGAAAAAAGCGATAAAATGGTTTGTGGAACGGAGGTAAACACTACTACATGCTCACCGACAAGTGTGACGGACATGGACATGTGTATGCCACACCCCCTTTTTCCAACCGCCCCCACCTTACCACTCGACGGCAGAAAATGCAAAATGCAAACACAAATATAAACACAGATGCTAACTAACCACATCAACATATCTGCCTGTGTGCGAAGTTTAGACTGCTGTGCAAACATATGAAAATGGAGATTTTCACGATGGTCCATTTTGATGTATTTTGCACGGGAAATTATGTTACAATGCCACTCGTATTTGCATCGCCCGAAAAGCCGAGCAATTATGATGGGGAAAAGCGGGGATAACAGATCCTGTACACTTTTCATACGGGTGCTCGACATTGGAAATGCATGGCCTCTTGAATTAAATCAACAGCAACTCAAGCTGAAAATGCCGTGTAAACGAAATGGGAGTACATCCCGGCCATCCCCGGATCCGTTTTCGAGTGCCCCGGGGCGTATTATAGCCATGGGCAACGCATCTGCTGGCCAAGAGAGCCCTTGCCATGGTCCATTGTGTTGCCCGAATATAATTCATGGCTCAGCCAGACGAATCCCTCCGTCAAGCTTTTCGGATATACAATGCGAGAGACGGACTAAAAAGCTTAAGCTTTATGATGAAATTTAAATTTGATGGGAAATTGTATACCTTTGTTTCACCATTTTAACGAAGGTGGATTAAAAAAATATTTATTTGGGAAAATAAGCCAAAACCTTCTAAAAGAGTATT